TTTCCCTTAGGTCTGGAAAGGGAAGAAGCAACAGATTTTGGGACAGAGATCATGACTGTGGCCTCTGGGCACCATTGTACCACAACAAATAATAAAGATAAAGTGGGGGGGAAGGGAGGAGGAAAGGGGGCTAAGGGACATCTTGTTTGTTTCAGGAATGGGGGAGGATATGGGACCCAGAGAACTGGCTTTTATTCCACTAATTTCTTGCCTTTCTGGGGCAAGTCACTTAATCTCCCTCAGTTGAAAAGGGGGTGGGAGGTGGGGATAACAGTGCTTCAGTCAAAAGGGTTTTCTATCCTAGGGATGAAAGTCATTAGTGATTTTGAAGTACCTGGGTACCACAGTAATGAGGTACATCTGAATACATAGGTAGACAGGTCATTTTGAATCCAGGTGCCCAGAGACAATGGAGATAAAACTTGGTAGACATGCCTGGCTAGATGCTCGCTATTGCCCCAAAGCAGCAAGTTATTTCAGAAATTCCTTCTAAGCCACATTCCATTTTCTGAATGCTGTGGAAGTAGGGGCATAGATTGGATTTGTCGAACCAGGAGGTTGATAGGTAGGAGGTAGGAGACAAGACTGAACATTCAAGAGCAGGCTGTTACAATAACTCTGTAGATCAGATAGTAGTAACCTGCATGTTGTTTGTCCTGCTCCTCAAGGGTATGTGTTGTGCATATTTATACTTTGAAGTTACTGTATCTGAAAGGCTGGAGGGCTGTTGCAGCTGTGATGGTCCAGGAAATATGTGAGAAGCAAGGTTTTTTGGAGTCATCTTTTATGGGACCAGCTGTATAGTTGGGTGAAATATTAGACAAGCTTTTGGGCACAGAGTGCCCTTCCTCAAGCCCTTCTGTGTATGAGGAGGACACTTTGTTGGTGCTTAATTTTTACTCTCTGTTACAGTTTTAGTAGTTAACTGGGCACTCTCAGAGGTACTGTTGAGTGTTCCTAATCTCCTCTCCACTCTCTGCTTTTCTTCAGCAGAGTATCGCATAGCTGTTGTGTGGTATGACCTAGTGTGGTGTTGTTGTGTTGCTCTGTTATTGGTGAGGTGCATATGGGAGCTAACTAAGACACCCCAGGGGACTGGAGTTTTCAGAGGGTTTAGGACTGGGGCTGTTGAGTTTTCCATGAAAACAAACAACACCGAAGAATTTGCACTTCAGAGGTGGGGGGTCCCAGCCGAAGAATTACACAGATTTTCCAAACAAGAGAGCAAAAAAACCAAACTAGATTTACTGAAAGGCAAGTCAGCTCTAAGATTGCCCTAGTATCCTAGGACACAATATTAAACCTCTTCTTGATGTTTGCCACAATAGACTAGAACTAGCTCTTCTTCTAGGAGGTCCTGTTTACAGATTCTTTTGACTGCTTGACAGTCACTAATGAAGTGACCCAGAATAACCCTTGCCTCTCAAGGTAGTTTTGCTGTGCTTCAGTAACCAAAGCCAAGATGACAGATCCTCCCTCTGTCACTTCTGCAAGTTATTTTTTGCCTCCTAGTTTATCCCAAGTTAGTCAATGGAGCCTGAAGAGCTTCTGGAATTACAGCTGATGCTGGGCACACTAAAATTGTGGTTTGCTCATCTGATCATCTAAAATATTTTCTCTCTGACATTCACTTCTGTCTCCTACCTGCCAGGCTCCTGAAGCTACAGCTCAAAGGTAAGCACCTTGCTCTCCAGTGTTCAGGGACCAGGGGAGATGAATTATCCTCTTACCTCCAGTGATGGGGTCCTTTTCAGGCAGCATTAATGTCAGGAGGTGGAGCAGTAGATACATAGAGGATTCCACTAAGGATTTAGTACACATCACAAGTGAATTGTCTGTCACTCTGGATCATGAGGACCATATGGGAGAGAAGAGAGGCTCACAGGTAGAGAGCAGTGCATAGTGAAGTACCATGGAGAATAAGGGAAGGATTTTCTGAAGTTGCCAGTATTGCCTGACTTTGCTTCTGTTGGAGTCAAGGGTAAATCAGGCTACTGACTTAAGCAGGAGCAAAATGAGGGCAATTAACTTTGAGGGGAGCTGAGTTAGGCCAAAGCTGAGCCCTTGGAAAATCTTATTCCAAGTGCTGCTCTCACCTCTGGAGTTGTAGGGGGTAGGGGGAGGCAGGGAAGGGCTCCTTTCAAGACCAAAGGCCATCAAGATTACTCTTTTAACTTCAGTGGAACATCAGTGACTGGCTGAGGTTCTGACCAAGGACCTGGCCCTTCATCTTGAGTGCTAGATGAGGGAGCAAATCCAAGACTGGAAGAATATAGACAGAGAAGGGAAGATGTTTAAAAGTGCAATAGGAGTTAGGTGCTTGACTCTTATTCACCAGCTCCTTTTGTGCCTTGAAACATCTCCTAATCAATTTCCTTCTGGTCCAAGGGCTGTGGAGAGTAGGATCTGATTGAAGGAGGAGACCACGATCCCCTGTCGGCCTTGGAGAAGGGTGTTCTTGCAGGGCAGAAGGCAGGTGGCACTGTTAGCACAGGTGGATGGAGGGGTAAAGCTCATGACAGACCCTAGTCTCTTAGTATGGGCAAAGGGCTTAATTGAAACCAAAAGCACATAAAGCAAGCTCCTGTGGGCAGGAGAATGAGGAGAATGATGAATGATAGCAAAACAGCAGAGAAGCGAGGCAACTATTTTGAACGGACCAGATTTGCCCCCCTGCGCTTATGTGGTGTAAGGTCCTGTTGGTGTGAGTAAGGCTGGCCAGGTCTAGTCTTAAATTGCCAAACAGCCTCAAATCTCAATTTTACAGCCAGCAGTAGAGGGAAATATATACATTCATTAGTGTTGATTGTTAATTTATCAGTCTTGGCTATTCATTAGTTTCAGGACTGCAGTTCAAGACTCATCTCAGGAACAGGGAACCCGCCATTATGTTATGATCAAGCTCTAGGGACATATTTGGGTCTGTGTTTTGAATCAGACCCTTGACTAAAATAAGCCTCTAGAGAAATGTTTTGTTTCCTCCCCAAGCACATGCAGTTTGTATCTGTAGATGGGGGGTGGGGGTTAGGGTGTATGTGTGCGTGTGTGGGAACAGCACTGGGGGAATAACGGGGAATAACAATTGTTTTAGTGGAAAGAGAGAGAGAGAAGAAAAAAAAGGCTGTTGAGCTCTTGCTTTCCAACTCTGAAAGAATAGATCTATTACTATCCCCAAACCGCAGCCCCCTCCCCTCCCCAGAGAAGAATTGGTCACTGCACAGCTGTGTGAGAGAGAAAAATATATTTATATATATAAGAGAATCTGCCCTTCTGAATTGGTTTGTGGAGATGGACAAAACCTCATTGTGCGCTTTATCTGCCCCGAAGAGAATGGGCCCACAGTCTTCAGCTGGCAGGGGCTCTGCCTTTGGTTAACTGTGGTCAGATAACTGTAACTTCATTTAGATACTGTACTGTTATTTTTTTCAGGCATTATTATTGATTGTGGGCACATCTGGGGAAGAAAACACAAATCTCTGCCCCTCTCCCCTTGTTCAAAAAAAAAAAAAAAAAGAAAGATGACAAGTTTTAAGAATGAAGGACGGATCCTACAGCTAGCGCCGAGGCCTGAATCCACTCATTTTCAGCTTCATGCTGTTTGGATTGACGATGGCTGATTGGCAGGAAGCACAGCGAGGTTACAGAGGTTTCTCTCTATCAGGTGCAAGTCCCAGGACCCTTGTTTTTTACTTTCTTCCTTCTCTTTCCTTTGTCCAAGGATGGCAGTTCAGTGTTTCGCACCTCAGAGGAAAGAGCCCTTTGCTAGACTCTCCCCGTTAGAAGCAGCACCGTACCTAGACTCTTGGTGGCCCTGGCCAAACTTTTAGTATCGGGCCCCCCTTCGCCGGAGACAATGATAATAATAATAATAATTTTCACCATTTTGGGCCCCCTTTCTGTCCAGGCCCTGGGCAGCTGCCTGGTTTGCCCATGCCTGTGTTTGTCCCTGCTTAGAAGCATAATCAAGCTGGACGGTGACATGGGACACGCAAAAAAAAAGTTCAACCCAAGGAGGTTGTTTTTGACAGGGAGAAAAACCCCTGTCCATGTTTTGCCATGCCCAGAGCTGAGCTATCAGGCCACGGATCTGACGGGGGTGGGTGGGAGGGTCTTGCATGTTCTCTCTCCCACTTGCGAACTCTTTTGAGGTCTTTTTCTAAAAAGTGTGTCTGGGGGCTTCTTCTTTCAGCACCCCGGTGGCCCCCGGCCATCAGCCACCCCGCAGTAACAAACCAAGGCAGGCAGCGGAGCGTGCCTCAGGCCTGTCTAAGGAGCGGCGAGTGACCCTTTGGGGCTGCTGCTGGGGGCCATGGGCAGGGATGGAAAGGGTGTGTGGGCAGGGGACGTCCCCAAGCTCTCACTAAGGGCGCCTCCAGCCTCGCTCCAGACCAGCGTGCGTGGCCGGCCACTGGTGGGTTCCCCCCCAGCCCCTTCGGGCCACCCTGCAGCCCAGCGGGGCGCCCCCCGAGGGCGGGCAAGAGGGCAACATGAGTGGCAAGGGGCTGACAAGGGTAGGACTCAGGGAGGGAGGGGAAGGGGAAAGGGAAGCGGGAGCAGCCCGGGGAGAGGGCGGCGAGGGCCCCAGGGAGAAGAGCAGCGCTCCGGGGCGCGCCCCTCCTCGGCCCGCCCGCGCACTGCCGCCTCCGGCCAGCAGAGGGGCAGGGCCCCCGGGAGGAGGAGGAGGAGGAGGAGCGGGGAAGGGGGAGCCGGAGCCGGAGGGAGGAGCGGCCGC